ATACTATAGAATGACATATGAGGAAATCCTATGATTTTGTGCTCAGTGTCAGATCAGGAGTTACATGGTTATTAATATTTTGAATTTTCTTTTCAGTTCTCTTTTTTCCAGCAACGTAATGTCTTCCAATGCATCTCTGTCCACCAAGGACAATGATGACATCACCATTAGTAACATCAACTTCTTCAGTCTCAGCTGACAGCAGGTTTCCCCAACTTCATAAAACTCATAAAATTTTATAGAGGTAAAAAAAAATTACTATGAAGATAAAAGCTCCTACTTACCTACAATGAAAAAAAGAAACAAGAAAAAAAGTGTTTACTTGTAGCTTAAATGCCTTTTTTATTTTAGAACCCCATGTTACACTCAATTAAAAATGGCATATTATGTAATCAACTAATATTGATTACATAATATCAATATTAGTTGATATTAATATCAACTAATATTGATATTAGTTGATATCAGATGGTTGAAATACCTTTCAACCAAAATACCAGATGGACTTTTCAGACCATTACAGGAAGCTTTGAAAAATATAGAGCACATTTATTTACATATGTGTATGCCTGGCCTGAGTGTATACTGTATAAATAATACCGCACCCAGCTATCTTACTGATCTCCTCAGCTTTTATACCACTGGGAGAGCGCTTAGTGTAGCCCTCCCAGCTTCCTAGAGCCCGCATTTTGTAAGTGTGATTTAACCTACAGCCTTTTGGCTTGTGCCTACAATGCCTGGTGTTAGTTGTGTCTCCCACCTGTCAGTGTATTTGTATCTGTTATTGATCTTAATTGGTTCTGTGAAGCACTTTGGCATACCTCTGTTTTTTTGTGCTATATAAATTGTAATGTATTGTATTATATTTAACCTCACAGGACTTTTAAGATCTCTTTTAAGATCTCAACTATCATTGTCTTACAAAAGGGAGTCTATGTATACATCTGACAAGATGATACTGCTAATCTTCTTGCAGAGATTTATCTCCAGTGGAGGACATATAAGGAGGTACATCCCTTCCTATCTCTGTCCAGGTGTTCCACAGGTTTCACAAAACTTTGTCGAGTAAGGTCAAAGTAAAGTTTTATAACATGTTAACATTTAACATGATGTATCTTTTTTTTTTCATCAACTGTTGTATAGTTCCCAATACATAAATTTTTTATACACACAAAATAAAGACAATTTATAAAAATTCTAGATATTTAAATATTTTGTTAAACATTGATCAACACTGCAACATATATTTGCCATTATAGTAAAAAGGAAATTCCTTTCTAAATGTAATAATCTGTTCTGATTGTAATAATCCATTGTGATTTTAATAACTTGGACAAACCCTGGAAACTGTGGCGAACGGAGCTCAGTCGATCCAAGTTGGTATCATATTTTTCGGACTATAAGGCGCACTTAAAATCCTTTAATTTTCTCAAATTGACAGTGTGCCTTATGATTGAAGTCTGGTTGTGCTTACTGACCTCGAACCGATTTTGTGTGGTACACGGTGCTCGAAAATCAAAAATCTGTCAAAAAATGTTTTAATACGACTCTGGTAAACTGCGAAGCCACACTGCTTGATGGATTGTTGGAGTATTACCACTGTCGTAGTCAAGAGTTAGCTCGCTAGTATCCACCTAAACATGATATACAGTGGTCCCTCGCTATAACGCAGTTCACTTTTCACGGCCTCGCTGTTTCGTGGATTTTTTTGTGTGCAATTTTTCTTTCTTTTTTTTTTACAGCGCATTGTGTTCTGCATCCTGATCGTCTGTAGACCACTGTCAATCAATCTCATGTACAGTACAGAATGCATTCAGCGTGTCAAACTTCCATAAATCTTTGATCGCTAGCAGTGTCAA